TATATATATATATATATATATATATATATATATATATATAAAAACTCCCCAAGCTGTTTTTGAAGTTGAAGAATCAGTGAACACCAATAACTCCCCTAAACATCATCAGATACGGTATTTAAATTACATTTCAGTTTTTAATTGCTTTTGTAAAATTAATTCATTTTGTAATTTCTATTTTGCTGGACAAGAAAAATAATCAGATGTAATTTGTAATTAAATATTTTGAGAGACTTTATCAAATACTATGTCATTTTATTCTAAAAAAATACAGTAACTTAACCAACTTAACAAAATATAGCTTATAACCTTTTTTGACGCATCCTGTTGGATCCATAAATGAATTAACCATATGAGTCTTATTTCGCCTAGGGTTGGACCCAACTGGAAAGCTGCTTTGGTGCTCAGTGCAAACTGCCCTAAAATAAAGTATGTTTACTGGATTATCAGTTTATCAGATATTGCTCACTGAATGTCATTATAGGACAGACAAATAAAGCAATTAGCAAATAGCGGTGATGCTCGAGAACTTGTGAATTTACCTGCTATTGATTAGTGACATTAGACTGCTAGATAACTTACCTACTTTTTTTCCCCACATTTTTTTTTTTTTTTTTGAATTTGCCTCAGGCGCCTTATGCATTATTCATTTCTCTTTAGAGGTGTATTGCACTTGAACTGTCTAAATAAATGTCTTGGCAAGTATTCACATAATTACAGTTGGTTGGTCTTAAGTGAACAAAAACATTTGGGAGAAATATGGATCAATATATTGGATCCTTGTGTCCATCTTAAAGTGACAGCAGGCTAATAAACCTGCTGATTGTCTGTGTCATTAACATTAACAACTAAATTTTCATATTTGTTCTTATTGTTAATTGACACTATCCTGGCTAATGCTTGCATATAATTTGTTTTAGTGTCTAGGGTTACAGAATATGTTGTTTTGTAAAATGAAGTATGAAGTAAAAAAAAAGTGCAAAAAATTGAGTATTGGAAGGAACTTTTAAGGTGTCCTTTTGAGGGCACTTCCCCAGTGACAAGCTGTTGTTCTCCTAAAGGTACAATGCTTGCACATTTGTTTTCTGACACTGTTAGGGAAAGCACTTCTCATTCTCTTACGTGTGTACAGTATCTAACTCCACTGTTACTAAATCTCTATCTAACACTACTGTAATAACACTGTCTTGCACTTGTTCAAATGATTGCTGGTACATTTTGTACACGCAATGTATTTTTGAATTTTCAAATTAAAAATTGCTTGTATTTTAATTAAATACATTTCCTCACACATTTGTATTTTATTTTGATAGATTTGATGAGCAAGTAACAAAATGTTTTTTACAAAATACATTTGTAACAAAATACTTTATGTATTTGTACTCATCTCTGCACATATTTGAGATTAATCAATTACAAAATATAAATCTGCACAAAAGGGCGCACATGCACACGTAAACCTGAACTGTTACAATCACTACTAGTAATTCACTATGTTCTATTACAACAGAGTATTCATCATTTTATTTTATTTATAGGACATAAAATATTTACTGAATTTAAGTCAATCGGTATCTTGTGCTTAAGCCCATAATGCTTTGTATTGAAGCCCTGAACATGTTCATTACCTTATATTTCAAACATCTTGTTAAGCAGATTTTGGCTTGTTGGATTAGATCAGCATTTTCTGATTTTTTTTTTGTCATTACCGTTTAATATTATTTACAATTTTTGTTACGATATCGAACAATACTAATGTGTATTGAAAGGAACTTTTAAGCAAAGATAATCAAAGTGCAGCTCTTCATTCAAAAATGGGCTTGTATCAAGATAAACACATATTTAAAAATACACATAAAAAGGTGTTGAGGAATTTTTTTTAAGCAATGAACAGTACTAAAGGTTAAATATAAAAAACTGATATGAATGTTGAAAAGAAACAAAGGGTAACTAACAAAATAAAACACCAAAACTGTAATGATAACAAAGGTCTGTGAGATGACTGAGAGTGTAATCAGAGAGTGAGCCAAATCTACAATAACAGAAGGATTCACCATGGTAATGCTTTTCAAAAGTGAAATGATAAATGGAGAGAAAAAACAGAGCCTAACATGGGTGGATCTTTCTTTCTCCCGAGTACTAATTCATTTCAGTGGCATGAGCTCAGAGGAGAAGTGTGTCTAGCTGGGCCATGCTCTGGATTTAGAAACTTCGAAATGTATATAGCTCACACATTAATGCTATTAGTTAATACTATTATTACTAGATTCATTTTCAGGATCTTAGGGCTGTATTGAGCGCTGTAACCACATCTGGTCAGTGCTGGTCTTGTGCTGTCCCAAGTTGAATGAGACAGCCAGGGTCACCCATTAGTAAGTGTGACACCTCAGACCTGGTGGTCTAAGACTTTCCTGGGCAGATGAAGAGTCCTTACAAGAGTCCCTGTTAGAATGCCTTTCATGATGGCTGTACAATGCAGTATACATAGTATTTCTCTTAAATCTTTTGTCTTGTCCTCCCAGCGTATTCACCAGTTAAAACATCTGGAATTGAGACACGAATAAACAGTTATCAAAAAATTCTAATTACATATATGTTTGTCAGTCACAAAGATGGATGGCCAAGATAATGAAAAATAACCATCTAGTTCACAATGCATGTGCTAGGTTCTTAGATTATAAAAAAAATAAAAAATAATAATAATAATAAAAAGATTTAATGATTTAAGTGTCAAGTGATTTCTGGAAGCAAGGTTGACTACCTCTTCTTTAGATTCCATTCAGTCAGAGGATATCAGACATTTTTATATTTTGAGCCGATTTTAAAACATACTGTATGCAGGACCAAACCTGCAGTAAGTAAATAAATAAATAAGTAAATGAATGAATGAATAAATAAATGAACAAATGAATTAATTAATGACTTGATAAAACAAATCTAATTAATTTGTAATAACATTTAATCCTGCATTTGTTTTATTACTTTTTCCTTTATTATTTTCTGTATTGATTTTTACATTTATGTTTATTCTTTTTTTTACATTTTTAATTACTTATTCTATCATTTATTATTTTATTATTTTAATTTTAATTTTTAAATGTATTTATGTGTTCATTTATATTTTATATTTATTTATTCCCACATGCATTGATTTCTGGATTTATTTACTTCTTTTTACTTTTACGTGGAAATGAGGGCGGCAGTCCTTGCAGAGCTCCAGTGCATCACTGGTTGAGAGCTCACGCAGAAGTCAGATCTAACTAGCGATGGAGCACCAGAATGAGGTCTCTGCAGAACCAAAAAAGGCGTTTCCCAATTTCAGGGCATTTTTCAGCCTCTGTACCTGATTTTATCAAATTGAGTGGGCCATAACCTGAAAAACACTGAGAGAGATTGCATGTATATGAACAATGTTTATGAAGCGGATTATGGTAAACTACCAGTTGTTTAACTATTTTGATTAAATTGTGTGAATTTTCTCTCAAGCTAACCAGTTAGTTATAAAATGCTCCAAGCAACCTACTTCGACTTAAGGCCCTTGCACACTGAGTCCGAAATTTTCGCACGTTAAAAAATAAATACGACCTCACGTTGTGTCAATCACGTTTACACACTGCCTCCGAAACTTTAGTCCGTCATAAAACAATTTGGATCAGGTTCGATTTTCTGCATTATTTGCATCCGTAGCAAGCATTTTTAGAGGCGTTTTGACAATTCAGAGCCACCGTACAAGCGAAAGCCCAAATCCAGAATGGCGTCTGACAAGTTGATCCACTTCTCGCAGCACAAAGCAATGTATAGGTCCTTGCACACTGAGTTCACGGAAATTGGTGGTCTTCTTTTTAATATGTGGCTCCAGTATCGCTAGAAATGCATCAAACTGAGCCACTGACATCCTAAAGTAAACTTTGAATCGCTCAGGATAATCCCGCAGCTCCTTGATAAGGAAGTGGAACTCTCCTTGGTTTGTATGGACCCAATATTTCATCTTTCTTTTCTCTTTTTAAGAAGAGAGAGGACAACAAAATCATCCTCACAGCTTGAAGACTCCATTTTGTATTATTTTGTGAATTTTTTTCGCAACGGATTAATTCATACGCATCGGACTCCATGTGCAAGGTTTCTGTGCGTGACGAAATTTTTAGGATGACGAAAATGAAAAACCGTATATGGAAATTTCAGACTCGGTGTGCAAGGAACTTTAGGGTGCGAGAACGTCAAAACATAGAACATAGAAAGTAGTCTCGTAATATAAAGCTACCTGTAATACGAAGATAGATTTCTAGCTCTTACTGATTTTAAATCATAATTCTGGAATGGGTCATACCTCTAACATTACCTGAGCAGTTGAATTAAATACGTTATGAAACTGCGCTTATTCTGCGACCTTCATTTATTGCATGGTTGGAGAAAGAACATCATGGATTGAAATGCTGTTTGTTTGAAACGTACACAGTTTGGTAAAATGATAACATTTGCCCTCTTTAATGCTGATACACTGAATGTATGAACCAAACTGTTTGCTAAAATATCCACAACTTAACAAGTCAATCAACTGCATGTGAAAAAACTGCATGCGTTCATTCATTAGTTAGTCCGGGCACGTTTTCTTTCAGAATTGGACAGCAGAGAGAGAAAAAAAGATAGCATTTAGGCTAAATAATTACATGCAGGGATGTGTTATTAAATGTTAGCATTGTCTATTACTATAACATTAGGCTACTATAACATACAAACACTCGCTATTCTATTTGTTGGATCACCAGTTTTAGTTTTGTCATCAAGTTGTGACTACTGTGTCTATATGATCAAAAAGTGATCCCATCGTTTAAAGTTTTCGGAGTGCCATTGT